TTTGTACTTCAAAGAAAAAAAAAATAAAAAAATAGCTTTGTGAAAAACAAGCTTTGCCGAGGGTAAAAAAAAAACGTATGTGTGATGATTTGTGTTTTTATTGGAGCCACAGAGGCGAGACACCTTTCATCCATCCACATGTGCATCCGTCTGCCTGGAAGCTTCTTGGTCCAAACTGGATCCTCAGTTAAACCCAAGAATTGCTAAAACTGTTTGGTATAAAAACAAACAAAATGTCCTGATTGGATCCCCTCTGAGCTCTGGCTGGATCGAAGTTTCGCTGGAAAAATGATTTCTGGCCCAAATCCTTGCTGCTGCTGGTGGTTCTACCAACTGGTGGATGATGGTCTGTACCTTACAGGCGCTCCATAAGATCCTGTTGATGAAGAAAATAGAAATTCCATGAATTATGAGACCAAAATGAATAACAATGCTGACGTTTCTTTGTATGAGACTAATTGCAAACATATTTAACATCCAGTTGCTTCATAACTTCCAACTGTCCACCACTTTACATTTGTAGCATAATATGATACAAACATTTTATACCATAAGAAACTAACTTTGATTAAAGCATAGAGTCAGAACACATAGATGGTAAAATGTGTTTCAGTCCAAACTGTTCTTTTTGGTTCTTCTATTGTGTAAATAAAATGAACTTTATCAATAAAATACTGCGTACTTTGCAGCCCTGAGTTTTTCACCATGACGGCATTATAAACATGTCATAAAAGATTATAAAGTTATTTGAGCCAATCTGCCAATATTTACTTTTATGCCAATTCCAGTTTACTTCAAATGCTTTGAATGAGGGTATAAAATAATTAAATGTTCTAAATTTTACACCGTTTCCCTTCTTATATTTCATTCTGCCTCTGCTGGCGTCAGAAGGTCACTGCAACCCGGATTATCTTGGTTTTCTGGGTTCTGTGAAAAAGGCTTTTTATAGTGAGGTTTAGTATAAGTAATTCTTTTAAAAACAATAGGTAACTAAATGTTATTTTATATCTCCTAGTAAAGAATTTCAACATAAGATATTTTTATATTAGATCAACTGAAATCAGTATTTTTATTCTTTGTGTTTAGAGAGCAGATAAATGTTTTTTATACGTCTTTGTTAGAAGCATTTCCTGTAGATTTTAACTGGTCTTAATGGTGATTATAAACCTTCCCACTGCAGATTCCCACATCACAGATAGTTTCCACTGAGCGATAAAGAAGTTTGATGTTTTAGTCGTCAGAGAATCGCTGATCAAATAAACCAGATAAACCTGCTGATCCACATGATGATCTGTAAACATTTTAGTGTAAACTGGGTGATTCCATGTGTGAGCAGGGTGGTGCATTTATAAAAGAGGCTGAGCTCCATTATAGATGGTTGATTGCAGTACGGATGGAAAATTTTATTTAAATAAACTGAATAATTAGAGAATTATAGAAAAAGAGCAGAAACGGCATAAAAGCAGCTGTCTAAGCATTAGAAGAGCCGTCGAGCTGTTTTATCTCAGATCAGCCTTCAGTGTCTTCCTGCTTTGACCTCTACTGTCGCTTTCATGTGGAAAATAGTTTCAATCACTTTCAAGGTCTCCGCTCTGCGTTTTATCCCTCAGACTGTGACCTTGTGGTTCCATCCAACATGCTTTCTGCAGCAGGGTGGCATCGCTGCAGCACACTCTGTCAAACAGATTATTTTATTGTAGCTGTCAAAGGACTGAAGTGCAGCTTTGAAAACTTGATGGTGTGAACCAGACTTCTGTGTTTTTATTGGTAGTAAAACATTTTCTGTTGTTTCTTTACACTTTCTAGAAACTTCTTAAAGTTTCTTACCAAGTCTGGCTGAATACTTTTGCCCAGAATGAAAATCAGGATATTTTTGCTCTTTTATTTTAGTTTTCCTTCAGCTTCTCATTCTTTTCATGAAAGCTTTTTCCTCCAGAGTTCATTGTCGCAGAACTTTACAGTTTAATGTGACAGATTACTTACCTCCACTCGCCTGCATGGCTCTACATGCCGGCTGCAGGTCTCATGCGTTTTGTGGGGGGGGTAGAAAACCCACGGCAACCTAAATGCTAGGGTGAGAAAGATACTGTCTTTCTGATCTTAAATGTAATGTGAGCAAAATGAAGTTAGTCTGTGATTGAAAGTTGTTTGTGTTTTAGAAAGCAGTTAGATTGTTATTGCAGTTTATTGTCCAGCAGAAACAGACTCATTTCAGTCTCCAGAGACCACCTCTGGCTGATTCCTAATAGTTCAGTCTGTAGACTGTTTCCTAGCTCCTTATCCAAATGCTTATTCCTTCATTTTTCATCAGAGCAACAATAAGAACAAGGAGCTCCAGACTGGCGTCTGAATCCTAATAGCTTTAAGGTTTCAACACATCATTACGGTGCAGAAACATTCATGGATGCTCAATTATGACTGCAGCCTTCCAGAAAGGAATAACTATGAAAGACTGATATAAAAACAGCTGAAGCTCTCGGTCTTCTTACCCCAAACATATGAAGGTTTCTATATTTGCATACGTCACAGAAACTACATGTAAATAAATACTGTCTTTCTTCATTGGTGGGATTTGCACTCAGAGAATTTTGTTCTATGCAGCAGGAAGGAAACATTTGGCATTCTCTATTTTAAATAAACTATCGATTTAACTTTATAAATGTGAACAAAACCAAAACTTGAGTGTCTTTATGATTAGAAATTTACATTTTTTAAATTGTGATTCTGCTGCACATGCAATGAATTGTCCTGCCTTATTGCTAAGACATGTAATATGTTCTGACTCTGCACTAAAGGGCAGGATTTGCTTTGTCTATGTTGGCAACATTTAAATGAAAATCTGAACAGAAATGGATTGGACCTTCAACATTTAAACAGAATTACATTCCTGTCAGGCTGTGGGACTGAGGGTCTGGATGTTGGCATCAGTCAGACTGGTCAGAGTGACGGGAGAGTGACAGGTTTCAGACAGCCGGGGGCCACCTGGGTTCTCTGTGGGCCTGGGTCCGTCCTAAAGCTTTCCTTCATTTGTCTCGCTCGCAGTCACTGCAGGAATGATGCGATAGAGACACACAGCAAGAGCCTGAGAGGCTCTGAGGTAATTACAGTCTCTGCAGATTCCCCTTCTGATCTTACAGCAGAAACAGGGGAGAGAAAAGAGAAAGCAAGTGAAGGGCAAAGCAGCAGGTGGTACGCTTCATTACGTCTTATTAAAAGAGCAACACATTGTTCAGGTTGGACTGCTGCAGAGCTCAGCTATACCATTAGGTAAAGGCCAGTGTCACCGGTTCCACTAGGCCTCATTTTCTTTGTCAATTAGCATTTTAAATAGGGTAATGATAACCTTAAAAAATACTCTATAAAACAGGAATGACATGAAAATGTTTTGTTGAGCATCTTTATCATAAACTGAGCTGTCATGTTCTGTACAATATCCTCGCTCTATGGGGGATATGGTTCCCTTTCCTAATGTTAAAACTGTGTTTCTATGGATGTTGTGTTTAATGGGGTCATAGATGGAAAACTGAGTTTCTATTGTCATAGATGAATAACGATAGTTCAGAGAGTGAAATGGACGTACTGAGAAGTTCAAACTCCATCAACTCCTCCTTTCTCTGCTAATCTTACTATTCTAAACTTCCACCATAAAACATGTAAATCCAAACGAAGTACCAAGGTGACGTAAATCTGGGATGTTGCCTTATTTGGTTCTGGGCTGGACTTTGGTCACGCCCCGAAATGTACGTCCAGACTAGGGATGGAACGGTTTCTGAAAACCGTCCGAACCGTTCGGTTCGACTGTGTTTCGTTCGGTTCATGCCATAAGTTTGCCATAAGTTTATTCAACTATTGTCACCCACTCCTGGTAGGCAATAAAAACTTTTTATTTTTATTATCCAGTAGAACTTTTTATTAAAAAGTTGTACCGGATTCACTTTGTATTAGATTTTTTCCTGCTTCACAAAGGTAGGCAGCAGCTTGACATGAAGCCATGATGGTGATTATTTTACATTATTATGGTATCGGTATCGGCCGATACTGCATAGCCAGGTATCGGGTATCGTTATCAGGGCCAAAAAATGGCATCAGCGCAACACTAATTCTAACTACTTTCTACCCGCTGATCACAGCTAATATAGCCGCCATTGTTCCAGGCAGAGAGAGGATAGGGTAGCTCCGCCCACCGCGCATCAGAACCACTTTACCACCGCGCAGCAAGAGCAGCAAAGACGCTTCAGAACTAAACTGGTTTAAGCATCAATAATGAAGCAGCATGTTTCTGCTGCTCCTGCTGCTTTAGGTCTGAACGCAGCGTTAGAAATATAACAAAATAAATATGAAGGGAAACTAATTCTACTTCTGTCACTGAGTTTAGATGGTGAATTTACCAACAGGCAGAAAAACATGTAAAATGATCCACATTTTGAAGACGGGTCTATCAGGAGCGCCGGGCTCTGAGGCTCCAAAGCGAAGCGTGGATTGGTCAGAAATAATTCACACTGAGTGTAAAGAGCTTCATGAAAAACATTAGAGACGTTAATTTCTCTTTTTGACCATAACTTGTAGTTTAAAGCGGGCTGCTCCTCTGCGCTCTGCCTGCCTAATGCTGCCAACTCTTTAAGGTGGAGCTCTTTACTGGACTTTACTGGACTTTACTGGACAGATTCCACCCCAGCTGTCCTCCTTTTACTGCTTTTTGATACTTTTTATCTAAATCAATTAAAATAACCTAAAATATTTTATTATTTTAATTCAAAATGTAAAACTAAAAAATCCATTCCACGTACGGTGTTATTATTACGGCTTTTCTACCTTTTCATTTTAAAGATTTGTTGCTGGAAGCTTATGAGAGTCATCCTGAGCATCTTTGGCTTAAAGTTTGATCTTTTTTTCCTTGTTTCATGTTTATAAAATGTTGAGCTTTTTACCAGCCAGTGATGAAGGCTTCTCCCGATCCGTTTCCCTCTCATTTATCTGCCTTGTTTTCTGTGTGTTTGCAGCTGCAAACTGAAGCTGTACTCAGAGAAGCTTCCAAACACCAGCATCATCATCCCGTTTCATAATGAGGGCTGGTCGTCGCTGCTGAGGACGGTTCACAGCGTGCTCAACCGCTCTCCTCCAGAGCTCATCGCAGAAATCATCCTGGTCGACGACTTCAGCGACAAAGGTACCGAAATAAACCATTTCCACGCAGGTTCTCATTAGTGCAGCCGGCAGGATCTGCTGCTAATGGCTGTATTTTCTCTCAGATCGCTCCGTGTTCGCAGACAGCCGCTCATTCCACACGTTTGTTTACAGACTTTGTTGACTGTTGGTCCAATAATGAGCTGCTGAGAAATAAAGGCTGCAGCTTCCTCTGCAGGGAAAATGCATCTAAACATAATGGGAACAGAGCGCCATGCTGGGGGGGGGGGGATTCATGTCAGACAATATTTACATCCATAAAGGACCAAACTCAGGAAGCCACGTCCTGCTGACCTGCAGCTTAGGGAAGCCGTGGTTCTGAGTCCCACTCCCACAGACTGCCTTCCTGGGCCCCTGAGCAAGACCCTGCTGCTGCTGCTGCTGCTGCTGCTGCGGCTGCCGCCGCTGCTGCAGAGGTTAATGCACAATAATAATAATACAGTTTCTCTCACCACGGCAGCTTAATCGCTTTGAACTCTACAGTTAAGCTCCAGCTTTCAACCCTTGCATAATAAATCTGGGCAGAAGTGCAGCGTTATCAGAGTAGATGTGGAAGCAGATATTCATCATGAACCTGTTTCATTCTCCTCCTTCTATGAGCTCAGATATGAAATGATGTACGGAGGGATGGAGACGAGTTTTAAGACTTTCTTTCCCCTTCATTCCGTTTATGATGTAGTTTCTGTTCCATCATCCTGCTGTTGTATCTTTAACCTTCTCTGGCCATAGATCTATAATAACAGACAGCTTGCTCGTCTAACCGGTGATAAAAGCCTTTTTAAAGTTTCATGTTTAATTAGTAACCACCTCCTGCATTATGTTAATATATCTTTGCTATGGAAACGTGTCAGACCATTAATACCATCATTAAAACATCTGTTCTGATCTGATGCTGAGGACATTGGGGGTTTATTTTAGTTTCTTGGCCATCGCTCCCTTTGGGGCATCGATTCTCTCAGAAAATCATAACATTATGAAATAAATCAACTTTGGATGAATGTTTCTTATTTTGACCTTAGAACCAAAGTTTCACAGCGTTTCTGATGCGGCTCACCTCGTTTCTTTAAGCTGGTTTGCAGGCAGACTTTCCTGGAATATGTTGGTCTCCTGCACAGCGATGGCTGATAAAGAACGTTTCTATCATGTTACCTTTTGGGTCGTGCAACTAGAAATTGTCTTTCTCTGTTTTTATGGTTAGCATAAACTGAAAGCTAGCTGCTAAGTTGCTCTACTGTGCAGATTTACTCCTTAACAGCTTTTCTCAACAGGTATTATACTATAGGTTTCCTGTGAGGAAAGGAAATGCATTTCTCCATCTTAACTTTATTGTAATGTCGCAGTTGGTTCAGAAATCATCAACTCTTCTAGTTTTTCTCCTATTTTGTTTCAAATTGCATAACTTCAGAGGAGATGGGTATCATCTTTTCCTTCACACCTGCTGAGATGTTGCCCTGCAGCTCAAGCAGCATGAAATGAATAAATCTAACAATAAAAACAACAAAATTCAATGTTTTATCAAGTGATTTTTTTATCTGAGTGTTTTACATCTATATGTGCATCTCAGAAGGACTGAGATTGAACCGCATTAGTTACGTCAGTAGGAAGGTATGAACAGCTTTACCAATAAGAATAAAGCAGGATTCTAATATTAATCGATGCAACATTAGATGAATTAATTAGACCTCATTATAAAGGTGGTGGGTGTGCAGAGCAAAGGCGGGTGTGCAGAGCGAAGGCGGGCGGGTGTGCAGAGAGAAGGCGGGTGTGCAGAGAGAAGGCAGGCGGGTGTGCAGAGTAAAGGTGGGTGTGCAGAGCGAAGGCGGGTGTGCAGAGCGAAGGCGGGCGGGTGTGCAGAGTAAAGGCGGGTGAGCAGAGCGAAGGCAGGCGGGTGTGCAGAGTAAAGGTGGGTGTGCAGAGCGAAGGCGGGTGTGCAGAGCG